CCTCGACGCCTCTACCCACCTTGCCCCACTCTGCCCCCTCCCCCCTCTCTCTCACCCTCCCTTCCCCTCCCTTCCTCCCGGAACCTCCCACCCCCCCACCACCACCCCACCTCCGGCACCAGCCCACCACCACCTCCCCACCAAATCCCCCTCCCTTCCCCCTCCCTCCCCTCCACCACACACACACACACACACGTCTCTCCTCGATCCTCAGAGCTCCCCTTTTTCGCCCGCCCGCACGCCCACCTCCTGCCGCTTCCCTGGCATTCGTCGAGCTCCCAAGGTTCCTTTCTTGCGGCCCTCACTCCGCCCTTCGCGCTCCCTCCCCTAGGTGCCGGAGGTGGGGGGCGGGGAGGGAGGGAGGGAAGGGAGAGACGGAGGGAAGTGAAGAGGGGGCGAAAGGAGAGGGAAGGGAGGGACAGAGGAGGGAAAGGAGGGGCGAAGGAGGGAAGGGAGAGATAGAGAAAAAGAGGGAAGGGAAAGACGGAGGAGAGGAAGGAAGGGGGACGAAGAAGGAACGGAGAAGAGGAGTAATTAAGGAGGGTGAGAGGAGGAAGAAAAGGGAAGGAGAAGAACGGAGAAAGTGAGAGAGAAGAGATGGAAGAAGAAGTGCGGAAAGAAGAAAAGAAAGAGAGGGAAAGTGAAGAAGAGAGGGAGAGTGAAAGTGAAATAATGGGTGGCAGGAAGATAGATAGATAGATAGATAAAGAGAGAGGGAAGTAATGGGTGACAGGAAAGATAGATAGACAGAGAGAGAGAGTGAGAGAGAAAAAGACATAGGGGTAGAGAGAAATATAAAGAGAAAATGAGAAGAAGGAGAAGAAAAGAAAAGATAAATGAAAACTTGAAAGAAGTAGAAAGAGAGAAATTGAGGGAAAAGGGTCAAGAGCATAAAAGGTGAAATTTAGACATAGCAATAAAAAAATAACTAGCAAATGCGAGAGAAACGAAAAAAAAAAATCAAGAAAACGAGACAAGAAAAAAACCACGAAAAGAAAAACACACACACAAACACAAAAAAAAAGACGAAAATAAACACACCAACAAACAAAACAAAACAAAAACAAAAACAAAACCTAGAAATTTGGTTGTGCAGAGATGATGGAATGAAAAATATCTAAACCAATGACTAAATATGGATTTTCTTACGATGAACGTCCAATTCGCCTTCGTGGTCGAGGTAAAGACTGAATGGCCGTTGCTCTGCCGTCCCGCTGCTGATCTAGAGGGAGTATCTGTCTGTCTGTCTGTCTGTTTGTCATTCTGTCTGTCTGTCTGTTTGTCATTCTGTTTGTCTTTCTGTTTGTCTTTCTGTCTGTTTGTCTTTCTGTTTGTCTATCTGTTTGTGTCTCTATTTGTCTTTCTGTTTGTCTGTCTGTGTGTCTGTTTGTCTTTCTGTTTGTCTTTCTGTCTGTTTGTCTGTATGTTTGTCTTTCTATTTGTCTATCTGTTTGTCTATCCGTTTGTCTGTCTATTTGTCTTTCTATTTGTCTTTCTGTTTGTCTATATATTTGTCTGACTGGCTATCTGTCTGTCTCTTTGTCTTTCTATATGTCTATCTTTCTATATAGTTGTTTAGCTACCTATCTAGTTGTCTGTCTGTCTGTTTGTCTGTCTGTATACCTACCTACCAATATCTCTCTCTCTCTCTCTCTCTCTCTCTCTCTCTCTCTCTCTCTCTCTCTCTCTCTCTCTCTCTCTCTCTCTCTCTCTCTCTGTGTGTGTGTGTGTGTGTGTGTGTGTGTGTGTGTGTGTATGTGTGAGAGAGAGAGAGAGAGATGAAAGGGTAAATAGATAGGTAGGTAGATAGCTAATTAGCTAGATAGATAAATAAAACATAACACTTCATATCCTGTGTGTGTGGCCGGTACGTTCAGTTGGCCATAAAATTACTTTATTGCTGCTTTCTGTGAGTGCAGGCAGTGTGTGTGTGTGTGTGCGTGTGCGTGTGCGTGTGCGTGTGTGTGTGTGTGTGTGTGTGTGTGTGCGTGTGTGCGTGTGTGCGTGTGTGTGTGTGTGTGTGTGTGTGTGTGTGTGTGTGTGTGTGTGTGTGTGTGTGTGTGTACGTGTGTGTGTGTGTGTGTGTGTGTGTGTGTGCGTGTGTGTGTGTGTGTGTGTGTGTGTGTGTGTGCGTGTGTGTGTGCGTGTGTGTGTGTGTGTGTGTGTGTGTGTGCGTGTGTGTGTGTGTGTGTGTGTGTGTGTGTGTGTGTGTGTGTGTGTGTGTGTGTGTGTGTGTGTGTGTGTGTGTGTGTGTGTATGTGTGTGTGTGTATGCGTGTGTGTGCCCTCCTTCCCCTCGCTCCCAGAGAGTAGCAGCAACAGTAATTATTTGACAAAGTGCGAACATTATCGCTAATGAGTTCGTGGTTCATCTCATGTTGTGAATGTTCAAGCGGCCGTAGCCTGACTGGATCATTCTCTTTCTTCTCGTGTCCTTAATGTTTATGAGTTCACGTAGGAAAATCATTTTTCTAATGGCCGAGTTTTCAGACCTTGGGGTTCGGGAGACGGCCTAATGATAACCCCGAGGCCCTGGCGGCGAAAAAATGGCGGAAATAAAGATCGCCATGCGCATTGCTCACTTTCTATTTTCATTTCTTTTTTTTGGTCGTGGTTTATGGATCTTTGTTGATGTGATTGGTATGAATATTAGCTTTGATATATATATATGTTTTTTGATAAGTAGATATTGAAGGAAAATGAGATTTTAATGTTGAAATAACGAGATAATAACCAATAGAAAACGGGAGAAAAATATTTTTCTAAGATCTCGGGAGAGTAACACAGACCAAAAAAAAAAAAAGAAACAAAAAAATTAAATAATATTCGCGTTTCACCAAGCAGTGGAAGGTCGTTCAGAGTAGACCTTACCTGGAAATTCACTAAAATCACTTATCTTCCCAGTAACATGAATACCACCGAGAGAACACGCTTCGGAGAAATGTCGTTTGTCTTTTGTTTTTGATCTTCGCTCTTTTTCGATTCTCTCTCTATTTTTTCCGGTCATTTTTGTTATTATCTATTGTTTTTCCCTTTTTCTTAAACATTTCTAAATTTGATTTTTTTTTTTTCGATTTTTTTCAGTTTACGATCCTCATTTTTCCCGATTCTCTTTTATTTTTGTTTTCTTTTTATTTATTTATTTATATTTTCGATGGTAAGATCCTTTTACTTTACATTTCGATTCTCTCTCTCTAATTTCTAATATCTATCCTCGACTGTCTTTTGTTTCACCATTTCTATTTTCGTTTGTCTTTTTACGTTTTCTTCTTTTCATTTCTATTCTCGTTCTGCGTTTTTTTTCATTTCTATTTTCACCTTGGATTTAGTTTTTTTTTTTTTTTTGTTTCTATTTTCGCCCTGGATTTAGTTGATCTTTTTTTCCATTTCTATTTTCGTCTTGGATTTTTTTTTTTTTTAATATATATATAATTCACCTTCTCTTCATGTGTTTTATTCCGACTGTCTTTTGTCTCTCCTGCAGTGTTGCCATTGCTAGGAAACAGCGCTTTGGGATGGCGTGGGGGGTAGGGGAGAGGGGGAGGGAGGGAGGGGTAGGGAGCAGGGAGGGAGTAGGGGGAGGGAGGGTGGGGGGAGGATGAGGGGGGAGGGCAGGGGGAGGGGGGAGGGAGGGAAGGGGGAAAAAAGTGGTTTCGTAAAGTGGTTATCAGATATCTGAGTAATTCTTGGGATTCTGTTTTATTCTGGTCTTGCGCTGGGTAAAAAAAAAAGAAACATAAAATAAAATAAAAATAAGATAAAGAAGGAACATAAAAATAGATAAGAAAGAGAGAGAAAGAAAGATTGAAAGATTGAGAGATATTGTTCGGATAAAGGTGTCTGGTAACAATTTGAATTACTATATTGGTAATAGTAATGGTAAGTTTAATAATAATAGATTAGAGAAATTGTACTTTTTTATCTTTAATACTATTATCAGTATTTATCTTTATCTTTAATACTATTGTTATGTTTATTATTATTATTATCATCATCATTAACATTATTATCATTACTATTACTATTATCATTATTATTATTATTTTGCTTAATGTTATTGTCATTACCATTATCATTATTATCATTTTATTACTATTATCATTATTGTTGTTATAATTATTATCATTTATATTTGTATTATCATTATTATCATGACCATTATCATTATCATTGTAAATACTATTTTGATTATTATCATCATCATCACTGTTATTGTTATTATCATTATTATCATTATCATTATTATTATTATTATTATCATTATTATTATTATTATTTTTATTATTATCATTATCATTATTATGATCGTTATTATCATTACCATTATTATTTCTATTATTATCAATTGCATTATTCTTATTATCATCATTATCATTATTATCGTTATTATTATTATTATTATTATTATTATTATTATTATTATTATTACCACTACTACTAGCATTAATAACAACAATGGTGATAGTGATCATTATTATTATCATCATTATCATTATTATCGTTATTATTATTATTATTATTATTATTATTATTATTATTATTACCACTACTACTAGCATTAATAACAACAATGGTGATAGTGATCATTATTATTATCATCATTATCATTAATATCAATATTATAATTTTTGTTGTTGTCATTATCATCACATCATCATCGTTCTTGTTTTCTATGATTATTATTATCATCATTATTACTATTATCATTATCATTGTCACTATTACTATCATCATTATTATCACGATCATTATCGTCATTACAATTATTTTTATTATTATTATCATTATCATCACTATACTTGTTAATATTATTTTGATTACCATTGTAATGATCATTGTTATTTTTATTATTATTGCTAAAATTATTATCATTATTATCATCATTATCCCTATTTTATCATGTGACAATGATCAAAATCTTTCCTTCCCGCGTTTATCCCCAAATCAACGTAAAAAAAGAAAAAAAAAGAAGAAAAAAAAAAACATATACATACATTTCCG